AGAGAAGCAAGCAAAAACAACGTATCTTCGAGTTATTTTGTGCTCATTCTATAAAATCAATAAGGTATTTACATAACTATTATGTTTATTGAGCCAATTCTCATACATTATACATGAACTCTAGTTGTTTGATGAAAGTTTTGAATGAATAATGAGTCTGATGTAGAGTCTAATATATCACTCCTTCCTTTCTACCCTTAAACTTTGTTACTATTTAATGATATTGAACGCAAATTCCAAGATGGGTTTTCTTAACTTTGTGATGACTGGTGTACTTCTTTTTTTTTTCAGTGGTTGAAGGACATACAACTGTTTATTGATGCCAATGTTTAGTGCATATGTTGGAAGAAGCATATAATCCATATCCCGCCACCATTAATTAATGATGAGAACTTCAAGAAGTATTTTGACATTTCTGTTTCAATGGTGCTTGTTCCAAAAAGATTTAAAGTGGCTACAAAATTTATATATCCCAATACCGATCAGATCTCTTTCACAGTGTAAAGTGGTACATAGTTATGAAATTAGCCAAAAATTTCAGGTTTTCTATCATTACAACTTTTTAGGTAAGTTTGAATGGAACTGTAGAGAATGTGGCTCAATAATAATTTCCTAGAGAGTCACATTTTATGTAATGGGATGTTGTAAATATGTTTATATTTTGCTTTGTTTGGTTTCAAGTGATGTATTTGATGTAATTGAATAAAACGATAACACTATATTCTAAGTTTTATTTTTACATTGGTATTTACAAATAAATGTGCATTATTTTAATTTTCTTACATATGTATTGTTAGATTCTAGTTCGATATTTGATGTTCATATAATCATTTAGTGTTACATTCTATTTAGAATGTTCTACAGATAGAGACAACGTATAGCATTATTGTATAAGAATATTAAGTTGTAACTTGAATATAGACAACCTAATTAAATTATTCTGTTAGAATGTTATGCAAATTCAGAATATTAATATAATATTAGAATCTTATGTAATATAAGTTCATTTTACATGTTATAACACAATTTAGAATATTACATTTTAATATCAAAATATTCCATACACATAAATTTAGAATACTACGTTTAAATTTCATAATATTACACATAATTTTATAATATTACATATTAACAACACATTATAAAATTTTGAATAGCTAGATTAATGTCATATCATTGAGTATTAAAAACCGAAAATTTAATTAGGCATTGTTTTATTAGAATATCTTGTATATAACTTATAATGTCATAGAATATTATTCTATTAAAATATTATACATATATATTACAAAAACATACAACATATAATATTACTCTATTAGAATATTATACACATATATAGTACTTTATAAATAACCTTATTCAAAGGGAATCCTATAACATTATTCTATTAGAATATTATATATGTTAAATTTATGAAAACAGATAACATATAACATAATTGTATTAGAATATTCTACGTATACATATCATTTTCATGTAAAGAAATGAACTTATTTAACAAAAAACCTAGAACTTTATTTTATTAGATTATAAATATCATACATCATAAACTACAACATTACAATGATTTTATACTTCATAGACTCTACTTATAAAATTTACCTTGAACAATGACTTAAATTCTAAAAAGACCTAAACATCAATTGATGATAATAAACAACACATAAAATTATTCTATTAGAATATTATACATATACTTATTATTACATAAAACATACAATATTATCAGAGAAAATATTTTACATAGAGAATTTAATTTTAAACTAGTCTAATATGTGAAAGATATTACTACCATTACACGACATAAACTATTAATCCTAAAAAGGACATAAATATTAATTGACAATAACGAACAACACATAAAATCATTCTATTAGAATATTATGCATATACTTATTATAACATAAAACATACAATATTATTCTGATAGAGTATTTTACATAGAGACTTTAATTTTAAACTCGACTAATATGTGAAAGATTACATGTAATATCATTTAAAGCATAACTATCGTTCAACCACAATATTTCTTTATTAAATATTCACCAATCTTCAAACCTTCAATCCTAAAACTATTGTTTACCAAACATTCACCTATACATGTTATTCGAAATATAGAAAATATAGCCAATATTCAAAGAGAAAAAGACTCCAAATTCATTAACCTTTAAATTCATGCAAATATTTGGACAATTAGATCAACAATCTTCATTTCACTACATCGCTTCCTGCACCAAGTTAAGATGCTTTAGTCAGTCACATTTGAATCCTTAGCTTCTTCAATTAGTTTAGGTGACCATTCAATTTGGTTGCATCATAAAAAGTAAATCAATGTAAACAAATATTTATCAGAACAAAATACCCAGAATATACAAACTACAGTCATGTAATAAAAAATATCAAACGTTTTGTAACATTCTAAGAATTTCATTCACCACCACACATTTCCAAACTTCCATCAATTTTATTTTTGGATACATTATGCTTTATTTTTCCATCAATCTCTTCCCTTCATCTTATACCAAGTTTGTTTATCAAGATTTACGAATGCATCAAAACATATATCATAACTTTATCAAAAAAAAACTAAAACAAATGCATTTTTTTTTCATAACCTAGTATAAAATCAAATAAGCATATGTACATTCTAAGAATAATCAACATCGTGAAAAGAAGAATATAACACTTAATAATATGTTAACTTAGAGTATTTATATCAAATATCCATATTCTAATGTGTTTAATGTTATACCTTGTCCTTTATTTCACGTTCTGATAAAGATCTATGAATTGAGCTATCATTCTTTTCTTAGTTTTAGTATCAACAACATATTTTTCTCTTGATTTAGTCATTCTTGCCACTTGATCTGCATCAAAACATATATCATGCTTCAATTAGAACAAAATACTAGAATATTCACACTAAACACCATAAACCAGAAAAATATGGGAATTTGTTTATTAAATACTTGACAAAAACTAGAATATTGCTATTATAAAGCATAAAGTATATTCTATCAATAATCAACATCATAGGCACTCCAAATAAAATATAAAGAACTTTTCTTTGAATTATACATTAAGTTATGATAAAATAAAATCTAGAATATTATAATATTAACATTATTAACCATATACTTCATTTTAATAATAATCAATATCATACATTCTCCTAATAAAGTATAAAAAAACTATTCTTTGAATAATACATCAAGTTATGATAAAAGAAAATATAGAATGTTAGAATGTGCTACATATAGACATTAACTTTACACAATAAAGTCATCAGTGTATGAATTAGTTCTGATTTATCAAAGTAAACAGTAACATCTGATTAATCAATAAAATAACACCTGAAACAAAATTATGAACTAACACCTAACTTAACAAATCAGAATACCTAGAATATGTAGACTTTACTGGAATTATCAAGTTCATGATGGGGATCAACGTTGTTATTATAAAGCATCACCAAAATTTTTGTAGAATGCTATATTCTGGAATTGTCAAGCAACATAATATTCTAAAAATATCAAGTTTATCATGACGATGATCAAGGTTTGTATTCTTAACTAACGCATGTTATCTATAATTATCAAGAAACATTAATTTGTTGGAATTCTAAAATCCAAAATTTATATTACGAAAATATCAAGAAAAACGATTAGGGTTGAAAAGAAATTAGGATTTAGGAGATATTACAAGATAACAGATTTACAAATAAGAAAGAACCTATCAATTTCTTGTACGCGGTGAAAATGGATCAAAATTAGAATTAGAACACGAATCCGAACGAGATGTATTTGAAAAACGATTAAATCGATGAAGTCTTGATGCAATCACAATTTTATCTTAACGAAACCTGAAAATATATGAATCATAATCAGCCAGATGAAATCCGAAAAATATGAAATTAGAATCAGTTTTCTATGGAGTTAAATGCATGATAAAAGCATGGGATTCTCGATTGTTCAAAGCATAAATATATTTTAACGATGACTGTTATTCTATGAAACATTCACTTGCCATTCAAAAAACCATACCAACTGTTCAAATTAAAAAGATAACCAACATTCAAATAAAGAAAACACTACCATGTCATACATAATAAAATATTTCTAAATCTTCCAGAAATTTTCTTCTCATCATTTTTAATCAGCCTCCTTATCAACCTTTCCATATTCCTTTGATTTGTTAATTTTTTTTGTTCTTATGCTTATTTATTGTATGTATATAACACATTGCAGCATACACACAACATAAATATGTAAGCTTCTTATTCTGTAGAAAACCTTATTTACCTAAGTCAAAATTCCACATTTCCACTTACTTACATGTTAGCAAAATACTTTTAGATCTGTCACATTAACAGTACACCAAAATTGGTTATAAGTTCCTTAGTTTACTAAAGCAAGTTCATCCTACTTACTATAAAGTAACTTTGTTGTAATGTATTTTAATAAAACTACATTATTTCTTATTTTCTAAGAAAAATCATACACTAATTAAAAACCGTAATATTGTCAAGATGTGGAATTTGAATTTGAATTTGAATCTGATTTATTCTAACCATCCATAATCAGTTATAGTTACATACATACGAACCATAAGACTAACAAAATATAAATTCTAAAAAATATCTTAAATTAACAGCAAAAAATAATCATTGTAACATTCTATTACTATTTACAAGCATAAAACCTAGAATAAATATCTAGTAAGATATAATGTTGTTAAGTCAATCGAATTTGAAAAAAGTTAACTCAGATTAATTGCAAACATAAAAGGTCAATAACATTCTAAAGTTTTACAACAAACAAGAGATTCCATTAGTTACCAAATCAGGAAAAATAAATCAATAATCCATGGATTCATAGAAATCGAAATCATATAGAAAGAAAAATCATATAATCATTGAATTCATAGAAATCAAATAAAAAATAAACTAAAGGATATATTAGTTTTAACTTACTGGATTGTTGAAATATCCATTCTTGATGATCATAGTCGGAATCAAGAGATTAAAAATCAGAGGTATTCAAGCTATGATTTTTGCTAAAATGAAATCATGGTTTTTAGACGAAGAACCATAATCGGTTTCTTAGGGTTTTATCGAGGGGTTTTGGAGAAAAGTATTATAATCAAAATCACAATCGATTCAATGATTTCAGGAAGATCAATGCGAAGCAAAATCAAAATTAGAATAATAGAAAGTTGAAATGTATCTAGATCTTCCATCGAGATTATTTGGAAGAAATATGATTTTTAGGGTTTGGTGGTAGGTGAGAGTTTTTCTGGAGCCTGAAGAATGAATAAAATTGTTTGAATCATTATCAATTAAAATTAAATTTATGTTACCACCCCTCCGTGTCTATCACTAATCCTAAAGTTTGAAAAATTGCATAAATGCCACCGCCTCTTTATGTTTTGTTTTGATTTAAACTCAGCCATAGATTAAGGTAGTTGAGTGGTTCAAATTTTGTCCCCATGTCTCACAAAATATCATTGTCTCAAATGAACTTAACCCTATATATATATATATGTATATATATATATATATATATATATATATATATATATATATATATATATATATACACTCTAATAAATGAAGATTTTTTTTGCCACATGTTACACTTTCATTCAATTTGTCAAATGTCATTTTATGGTTATTTTGAATTAATTTCTTTTTCATATGTCATCTTATAAGTTTTTCTATTTTAATAAATTCCACATAATACTTTAATGTAAGGATTACAATAAATATAGTAATAAATTACTATCAATTTCATTGATGGACTTACCTTCTTATTTTAAAACTCTGAAATTAAAGCCCATTACTTTATTTTATTTATTCATTTAAACTAGGTGTGAGACCCATGTGTCACATGGATTTGTTTAAAAAAAATTTTAATATGAAATTTTAACAATTTGAGAAGTTTGAATTTATAAGAAAATGAGAAAAATTTTGAATTATTAAAATTAATGAGGCTTTAATACATTAAATACATTACATATATAAACCTATTCTAATAATTAGCTTACATATATATTACCTAACATATTAAATGTCAAATTTTAATTTAATAAAATGAAAAATACAATAAAATGACAAATAGAAAATCGAAAATTCAAAAATTCTAGAAAATGTCATGTGTTCAAATGAAGGAGAAGATGACATGTGGCAAAAATATTTTGATTTATTCGGGTGGATTTAAAAGATAAAAAAAAAATTAATTTTGATAATTCATTACTTTTTTTTTTTATTTTCTTATAAATCCAAAGTTCTTAAATATTTAGACATTTATATTTATTTTTTTAATTAACCCATGTAATACATGGGTCTTACACCTAGTGTGTATATATATATATATATATATATATATATATATATATATATATATATATATATATATATAGAGAGAGAGAGAGAGGTTTAGGTATTTAAAGTAATTATTGTGTTATTATATGAAGAAATATAGGCCAATCATTTTAAAAGGGTAAATATGTAATCATACATCTAGTTAATTATGATAAATATATAAATCAATTAATATGCTTTTAATTTTGTTATATCAGTTTTAAAACCAAATTTCGTATATATCATCACCTCCGCCTCTTCCCTCTTCTCTTCTATTCATCGTCGCCCCCACCCTTGTCCCTCCAGCCGCCATTACCCCTTTATTCCAGTCTGCCTCAAGTTCTAATTCCGACTCGGAGTCAGACGACGAAGCTCAATCTGCTCTTGAATTACAAACCCTAGAAACGAAGCTCTCGAAAAACCCAGCCAACTACGATGCTCATGTTCAAGTATGTCTGATTATTTTTGCTTGTTTGGTATTATGTGATGAAATTGAGTGTAGTTAATACGTATTGTTCTAATGTATGGTGTGTATGGGGATAAAAATCAAAGAAATATTCCTATTTTGGATCATACTGATCCACCATGCTTAATTGGATTGCAAGGATGCTGTAGCAGTGAAGCTTATCAACTCCTCAACAACTGTTGGGCAGTTGCTATCAATGCATATGAAAATCCCTCAATCGATTTATCCGAGCGACGTGTTATGTATTCAGGAAGCAGTGCATCAGCATGGGGACAATTTCAACTTCCTCATCAGATGATTTCTTAGACAGACAGAGTTGGAGTTGGAGCTTCTGGGAGTCAGATTGATTTCTTGGGTGAACTCAGGCAAGTAATGCGAAGCCATAACTCAAACACCCATTTCTGAGTTCTAATAAGTAAAACACAATCAGAGCTGTCGGTTGTTTAGCCTATAATATCTTTCAATTGCTGTTGTATGTGTTGTTAACTTGAATTTCTGTTGAATTCTATCCCAAAGAAGGATCATTTGTACTCTAGATTTTAATGCAATTGGGCAAATGACGAAATTTCTCTCACCCTATCTTTTGGGTAGGCTATTGTTTCCCCTTCTATGTACATTTTTTTCTTTTAATTTTTCTTTCAAGAAGAAGAGGATGTTGGATGATTAGAATGAGGATTCCTTGTCGTGTCCAGGAACAATAAGCACATTCAAAACCTTATGACCACCATCAGAAAATAGAACTTGTGACTCATTATAATTTGTTGTACATAATGCAGGAATGAGGGGGCAATTCCTAGTTTTGAGAAGTCATTTGAGCGTGGAGTATCTGATTACTTGGTAAGATACACACGTTTCTAAATTTTTGTTTCAGTACCCATCTTAATGTTGCATTCATGGCTATGAAATTTGTCTTTTGAGTTTTGACTATTCTGATTTTCATCTTCAGTGGTGAATTGTCATTCATGGAGCTTACCAGTGAGCCAGTTGCAATTATTATCTTGCCATATCGAGTGCCTTATGGTTTTCATTGAGCTTTCATGGCGATAATCTCCTAAATATATGATGTGGACCAAGTCGAACAACTAACTCAAGTCATGCTTACAAACAACCTAAGATTATTTGGCCCAATTGTTAATGTGTGTTTATGATTTAGATACTTTAGTGTTGTATGGCCCATCAACTCTATTGGAATGGAATCATGAATTCCAATTTTTTTTGGAATGGAATCACGAATTCCAATTCTGTTGGAATCACAGAAGTTGATGCTTGAAGAACGGACCACAAAATTGAAACTGATTCTAAGCAACATTATTCTTTTAGAATCTTTTAGTGTCGTTGTTAGATTTTGATGTTTTCTTTCCCATTTTGAAAGTTTTTTTAGTTTTATTTTTTAACAATAAATGTAATTCTTAACAATTGTTACCCGTATTCTATAAGAAATAATGTATTTTTTGTTTTTATTCTTCAATTGATTGTTCAAGAATTTGTTATTCTACAAGAAGTTTTTAAAGTCATGATCAATAAATAGGTTCAAGAATATTTTTATTATTTATGGTTCAAGAAATATTTTTATTTTTGAATATATTCAGAAACATATTCTGTCAGAATGTCCGAATTAAAAGAATTATAATTCGTAAAATTGGGTTTTTAAAATTAATAGAATCCATGATCCCTTAAAAAAAATGCAATTTTCCTTTATTAAATCTCTATTAATTGACTAAATTACCCTTTTAATTAATTAAGATGATATTTTCAATTATATTTAATTCAATAATATATATTAATCACTTTCTTAAAATAAGTAAAATTAATTGGCCCACATTTATGAATACAATAACACAATAATTTCTTGAATAGAATAACCTAAGCATATATATATATATATATATATATATATATATATATATATATATATATATATATATATATATATATAGAGAGAGAGAGAGAGAGAGAGAGAGAGAAAGAAGAGGGTAGAGAGAGAAAGAGAAGCATGTTGTGTTTTGACGGGTTCAACACCCCGTTAGAAACTTTAGCAACAAGACTGTTTTTCCGACGGTATAGCCAACTCATACACCTCAACCCCCATCATTTAGTTCAATGTATAGTGACTACATATTGACTCTATGATGATGACATGTTAGTTCAGATGCAAAAAAAATTCAAATGAGACGAATGGTTTAAATTTTGGCACGGAGTCGGCCACAATTCATGGCGTGTCGGGATGATATTGTCGATGGAACGACTCCGCAAGCAACGAGGTACCACAAAAGTGAAGTCCTATGAGATAATTAACTTGTTGATCGTCTATGTGTAGACTCTCTTTATGGTTTGATTTGTTTTACTGCATGCATAAAAAGTTGTATCATTTTTTTTATGTTTTTAATTATTCACTATACATTGAACTAAATGATGGGGGTTGAGGTGTATGAGTTGGCTATACCGTCAGAAAAACAGTCTTGTTGCTAAAGTTTCTAACGGGGTGTTGAACCCGTCAAAACACAACATGCTTCTCTTTCTCTCTCTACCCTCTTCTTTCTCTCTCTCTCTCTCTCTCTCTCTCTCTCTCTCTCTATATATATATATATATATATATATATATATATATATATATATATATATAGGATTAGGTTATTCTATTCAAAGTAATTATTGTGTTATTGTATGCGTAAATGTAAGCCAATTAATTTTATAAAAATGAGTTGGTTGGGATTTGTGAGGGATAGGAGGGATGAGTTTTTATATGTTAGGCCGGACAGAGTGACTGCGGTAGAGTGAAATGAAGTGGGAACCACACCCACGAACGCCACACCTCGGTTGCAGTTTAGGCCATGTAATTTAGGGGCGAGGGGTATCCGGCTCGTGTTTTCTTTCCTCTCGTGGCTGGACATTAACATATAGGTTTTTTTTTTTTTTTTCTAATTCATATATACTATGAAATTATTAAAAAATATATTAAAATTCATGGTTTTAATTCTCTAAAAAATAAGTTTAATATTTGTATAAAATATATTTAAAAGATTAAAAATATTGAAAGGTGCCCATTTTCTGGTTTTTTGTGAGTAAAATGTGAGTAGGTTGAAAGCTCACATGACATATAAAAAATGAGCTGTGAAAGGTGAGTACACACTTTCATCTTATGGGTTGGAAAATGGAGGTGAGATAAATAAGAAAATTTGATGTGACAAATAAGTTTGAAGGAATGTAACGAATAAATTCTCTCCGCTCTTTTGTTTAATTATTTATCGTGTATGATAAGCTTTGTTACATGTTAGATATGGATTGACTTTATGGTATTATTATATTTGTTAAATAAATAAATATTAAAAAGCTAATCTTAGGTGATGTTACCTTTTTAATGATTATTAAATCACATAATATCTTCGTCTTCATCCATTTAAGATCCATGTTCCAAATCTTGATCATTTCAAATCATCTCCAAGAAGACTTGTTTTTTAAATATCTTTTAAGTAAAACATCATAAATGGTCCTTATGATTTCCAAACCAACCAAGTTCAGTCCTTAAACTTTTAGGTCATCAACTGTGGTTTAAAACCACACGAACCATCGTTGATAATCTAAAAAACTTTAAACCACATGGACCATCATTGAGAACCTAAAAAGTTAAGATCTGAACTCGACTTTTTTGGAAACCGCATCAACCATTTATGATGTTTTTCTATTTTTTTAGAAAAATACTCCATATTTTATTTAATGTAATTTTAATTTTATTTACCGATCGAAGCAAACCACTCCAACTCAAGGTCCTTGATGACAAGGACGAATTCATAGTTACATTAGGCACCTTTTGGCAGAAGAATTGGGTGAGACAGAACTGGATTGAACTGAACAGATCTAGACTGGACAATAAAAATAATTTGTATAGTGTTTGGTAAGACTGAATAGAACATAACAAGTTGTCTGAAATTGTTTGGCAACAACAGTACTGAACATAACAAGAAGTAAAAATGACCATATTACCCTTTTGCAAAAAATATTCATGATAACACTATTTAACATACATAACATCAAAATAAACATTTTTATTAATTTTTTTTTAATTTTCATATTCAAACTAGTTCTAATACCAAATAATCCAAATTGCTTCAAAATTAACAAATTTCTAAACCAAAATGGTTTCCAAAATCCTTAATTTAAATAAATAAAAAAAGAACAAACTTTAATTGTATTCTTCCAATATAGTCTTCGCAAAAAGTGGGTTGGTAGCTGCATCCAAGCTATTCCACATTGGTAAAAAGTTTAAGTTTTTTGTAAATTTTAAACAAACTCGCATGATTTCAGAAGAAGACAACTCCATGGTGTTCAACTCTTCGTGTATGGTTTTTAACCCTGTGAGGTCATTAGTAGAAGAAGTAATAGCCCTAGTCATTTTTTGGATTTCCTCATATACGATAGCTTACCCCTTTCCAATTATATATGTTACTTCTTCAGATGCCGCTTTTCTCTTTTTATTTTGCGACGAGTTTTTGGGATTTGGATTGGAGGAAGTTGCAGTGTTTTGAGGATTAGAATTGGATGATGGAAAACTTTCTCCTTCTTAGTTATTAATATTTTGATTTTCTGTCACATCAACCACCGATTCAGCCATACCACCTATAGCTCGATCTTTACCAAAAACATTTGCTAGTTGCTTGTATGCAGGGAATGATTTATTTGCGCCATAGTTTTTGTTTGGATGTTTCCAGTAAAACAAACAAAATTACAAGTAAAATCATATATTTAATACTTAGATGCACAGAAAAATAATATATATATATATATATATATATATATATATATATATATATATATATATATATATATATAATCACTAACCTTTAGATATTCCTCTAATATCTCAGGAGAATCAACTAGTACACATTTGTAAACATCATCCCAAACAAATCCACTTGTATTTTGCATATCATATGCAACATAAAACTTATCCTTTAAACGTTTGATTTTGTTTCGCATGTCCTTTGCTGTTATATTAATACCATCGAATTTTTCCCGTAACTTTAGAACGACTTGATAATAGGTTCCAGACCTAAAGCTTCCCTTATCACCTCTACCACCAATGACAACAATGTCTTGACGGATTTTAATCAACACATCCTCTTCTTCTTGAGTCTATTGACGCCTATCTACCATGATTTGTTATTTGTTTTTGACATATCATACATAACAAAGGTAAATAGATAAAAATAGAAATATTAAAACAATCATCCACGAAGTTGGTTAAAAATCATAAAAATGGAAAATATTAAAACAAATCATCCATGAAGTTAGTTTAACTTAATAAAAAAACATACACAAAGTTAAAAGTTGTTCACATCCATAACAATTGCGAATAACAAACTAACAAAAGAAGTTCCTAAAATTAAAAAAAAAAACAATCTACTAAGATCTAGTTGACATCCATGACTCAAACATTTCTTTGGCTAAATCATCCCTCCATTGAGTCCATTCATTACTTGATTCAACAACATCCACAATTTGAAATTGATTTGGTTTTTCTTCCCCGATAGGCATATCTTCAACAGTGCTTGACGTGTATTCTTCTGGATCTGAAGCCATGTGTGTCCTAATAAAATTATGCAACAAAGCACATGCTTTGACTATTCGCCCTTGAATTCTTATCGGATAAATGAAGGACTTCTTAATATAGCCCAACTTCTCTTTAGTAGACCAAAACACGTCTCAATAACATTCCTGGCTTGTGAGTGTTTCATGTTAAAGTATTCCTCTTTTTTTGTAGGTGCACGTGTATTGCCTTACCATTCCTGTAAATGATACCTAATACCTCTATATGGTGCTAAAAAACCTTCACCATTGATATATCCTCCATCAGCCAAATAATAAATACCTATAATAAATAAAGTAAAAGGTATGATTATGTAACTATGTTTACATATAATAACTATTTAGTAATTATTATATTTGCTTACCAACTGGGATTTTTAATCCATTATGTCTAGTAATTGCATCCAGCAAAACCCTTGAATCAGTAGCTGAACCTTCCCAACCAACTAAGACATATACAAAATTCATGTCATGATTGCAGAAACCTAACACATTCATTGCTATACTACCCTTTCTTGTTCGGTACCTTGGTATATCCGAGTTAAGGACATTAACTTCTATATAAGTTCCATCAATTGCTCCTAGACAACCCTATAAATAAATTTTTAACGCATTGTTAGTTAAAAACCTATATTTTGTAATATGTCATAATAATATTATCTTGGTTACCTGGAACCATTTCCACCGGTTATCTGTACAATTATTTGCAATAGGCGTTGGTC